GCAGATCTTTTTGAGTTCAAGGCCAGCCAGGTCTCCAAAACAAAAACAAGAAAACAAAAAACAAAACAAAAGCTCTCTTCTCCTCTCTTGGCTCTCAGTGCTCAGTGCTCTTGCCCCCTTTTCTCTCTTCTCTCTCTCTCTCTTTCCCCTCCCCCCCTTTTCCCATGGCAACTTTCCTGGCCTCTGTCCTTGGGGCTAATGAACTTGCCTACCCCAGAGCAGCTTCCTGATAAACCTGCCTTTAATATAATTTAAAAGACAAACAAACAAGCAAGCAAGCAAGCAAACAAACAAACAACAAAAAACAGTCTTTTGGTGGCTGGCAAGATGGCTAAGAGCCCGTGCTAGTCTTCAAGAGGATCGAAGTTCCAAACCTGGCAGCTACATGGAGCTCACAGCTGTCTGTAACACTAGTCCTAGGTGGAGGTCTAACCCTCTTCTGGCCTGCAAGGGCACTCACTTGGTGCACAGATATATCCATGCAGGCAAAAACACCTGCACACACAGAATGAAGTAAACGATGAATGTCTGTGATATGTTGTATACAAAGGTGTGATCAGAGAGGTTTTAATGCAACGGTAAGATAAATGTATCTGATAGGAACACAGAGGGACACCTGAGCCAGCTGTGATGGGAGGGACCAAGGCTCTGGTGAGGGTGGGCTTGGAGGTGTCGGGGGATCCCAGGGGAGTGAGTGACAGCTGCCACTGCAACCCAAGCGGCAGGCACACAGGAGGACACGAGGCCTTTGATGACTGAGAACCTGCTCAGACACCCTCAGCCCAGAGACATGTTCTGGAGGTCCTGAAAAGGTCAGCTGTGTTTGAGATCTGTGCAGTTTGCCCTATGAAATTGGGGTTTGAACATCACAGAAGGGGACGGTCTAGGTGGGAATATAGGTTCAGGAGAGCAGATCGACACGAGAAGCAGGAAAGTGGGAAGTGGCAGATGACTGCCTGGATGGTGGGGTGACTGAGAGGAGGGGCAGAGGCTCCAAGTTTCCCAGCTGGAATGGCCAGAGGGATGACTGACAACTGACAGTGTATGCAAGCTGTTCTCAGCCACCTAGCACTCTCTTGCTTACAGACAAACCCCAGCTTGGGAGTAGGACATACCCATGCTGTCCTTCCTCACAGTTGCTCTGTAGGATATGCACATGAGCTTAATTCATTTTAGTCCTAGTGAAGCACATAAGAACAATGTGTATATAGCTCTAACTAAGCCAAAGCAACCAAATGTACAAATGTCACCCAAGGCCAGGGCACGGTGGTTCATACATATAGGCCCAGCACTTGAAAGAAATGGGCATCATGCCAGCATTTAGGGTAAGACCCTCTGTGACACATACCTGTGAAGGAAGCACCTTTGGAAGCTAGGGTAGCCGGATCTCAAGTTTGGAGCCTGCCTGGGCTATGTAGTAAGCTCTTGACTCAACACACAGCACAGACACACAGACACACACACACACACACACACACACACACACACACACACACACACACACACACAGAGTCACTTTAGCTCATCTACCTGTTAAGCCTATTTGCCATTCCTGTGGAGAAGCAGTGGATGAAACCCCCTTCCTGTTTGGGGGGAACAGACTCTGCTTGATAGGAGTCTTTCTCCCACAGTCTCACTAGACAGAAGGAGACCACTCTCTTTGCAGATATTCTGGGTCCTCGTGAACACTGAACTCTGAAACTTAAACCTTACAGTACGGTGCTTCTGTTTGCAGTAAAGGACACTGGCTAATCCTTCAATGGCCGAGGCACATGCAGGAAATGAGGAAAGTACACATTTTGTTAGCAGGACAGTAGTACACTCAGTAAACCACAGCAGAGGCTTCTTCATGGGTGAGGAGACTGGTTGTAGGAGGCAACACTTTAAAGTAAGTATATATTTAAAAATATTCATGTCTATGTGTCAATGTGAGTTTATGGCAACAATAAAAAACAAATACACGATCACTCAGACAAGTGAGCCATGGACAGAGAGAGCAAGGGACACAAACACTTCATCAACTGAGGGATCAAAACTGAGTCAGGCCAGCAGGCAGAAAGTGAGGACCGCTGAGTGGTGGGAGAATCCCAGCAAAGAGGACAGCCCAAAGGCAAAGTGAGCCCAAAGGGCAGGGTAGTCCTTACCTGAGGCAGGTGATTTCCTGCTTGTTTTCCCAGGGACTGTGGCATTTGCATAGAACAGCCTTCCTTCCCCAAAGCTATTTCCTTTTCCCTTCTGTTGTCTGAGAACTTTCACAACTGTGATCCACATTAGAAACACGGGTTCTAGGCCTGTGCTTCACCACATCACAATCTGCAAAGCGCTGCTATTTTTATGAGCTAATCTGTTACTTAACTCTGAGAGCTACTCTGCTGTTTGGCTGTAACCACAAAAGCCTAAGTGACAAAAATAAAAAGTGGGCTTCATCAATGCACAAGGCTGTGTGCCTCAGTAGACTTTACCAAAAACTGCAACACCAGTACTCATGAGGCTAAGGCAAAAGGAACAAAAGTTCAAGGCTACCCCCTGCTACACAGTTCACAGTCAGCCTGGACCCCCTGAGAACCTGTCTCAAATGGGGGTGGGGGAGCTGGAAAAACAGCTCAGTACTTAAGAGCTCTTCCTGCTCTAACAGAGCACTGGAGTCTGGGTCCCAGCACCATGTCAGGTGACTTACAACCACCTCTAACCCCCAGCTCCAGAGATATGACGCCCTCTACTGGCATCAATAGGTATCTGTATATATACCCCTATCCCAGACACACATGAATACATACACATCATTAAAAATAAAAATATCTTAAAAAAACAAGACAAAAAAGGCAACAGAATGAGAACTAATCTTAAGTCATGCATTTCTCTGATAAGAAACATATATCCCAACTACCAAAAGGACTCTTATAAGTCATTAAGAGGCTAAATCATTCAAGTGAGAAGGCAAACTGTGTGAATAGGCACTTTCTTAAGTAGAGACTCAGATGGCCATGAACCACAAAGGATATCTGGCATCATCGGCCTTCTAAGGCATGCTGTCACAGGCACAGTGATGGCATGCTGTCACAGGCACAGGGATGGCATGCTGTCACAGGCACAGGGAGTGATGGCATGCTGTCACAGGCACAGTGAGGCAGCACTCTATGGGCATGAAGCTGGCAACAGTGACAGTGGCAGATTCCCTTGAATGGATAAACAAAGTGTGTCACCGCAATGAAATAAATTGTTGCTTAGTCATAAGAAGGAAGCGTGGACGCACGCTGCGATCTGGTTGAACCTCTGAACACGATGCTGAGTAACAGAGGTGAGTCACAGAGACTACACATGGAGAATCTAGTCACAGAGACTCACCATCACTCTACAGACAGGACATGCTGGGAGCCTAGGGCTGCAGGCAGGGACAATTAAGAGAAAACAGGGTATAGGCTTTCTTCTGAAGGAATGCTCTGGAATTTGCTGTGGATATACAACCTTATGATTACACAAAGAAAAGTCTGACTTGTACATATTACTGGATGAAATAGTTTGCTGTATGACATAGCTTTCACTGTCAAGTTGACACAAACCCAGAGAAACCTTGAAAACGGAATCTCAACTAAGCAATTGTCTTCAGATTGACCTATGGGCACATGTATGAAGCTTTTTGATTCCTGATTGATATAGGTTGACCCAGGTCACTGTGAGTCTGTGCTGTGTAAGAAAGTAATGGACCATGAACTCCCAAGCAAGCCAGTAAGCAGCACTCCTCCCATGGTTTCTGCTTTAAGCTCCAACCTTGACTTCCCTCCATGATGGGCTGTAACCAGTAAGCTAAAATGAACCACCTCAAAGTTGTTTTTGGTCATGGTGTTAACTCCAGCAACAAAAAAGAAACATTTTTATTTTTTTACTTTATTTTATTTTTTTGGGTTTTTTCAAGACAGGGTGTCTCTGTGTAGCTCTGGCTACTCACTCACTCTGTAGACCAGGCTGGCCTCGAACTCAGAAATCCACCCGCCTCTGCCTCCCAAGTGCTGGGATTAAAGGTGTGCACCACCACCGCCCGGACATTTTTATTTTTTTTTAATGTGATAAACTGTTAAAAAAAAAAAAAAGCCGGGTGGTGGTGGCGCACGCCTTTAATCCCAGTACTTGGGAGGCAGAGGCAGGCGGATTTCTGAGTTTGAGGCCAGCCTGGTCTACCGAGTGAGTTCCAGGACAGCCAGGGCTACACAGAGAAACCCTGTCTTGAAAAACCTAAAAAAGAAAAAAAAAAAAAGAAACTGTTAAGTGTGTTGTTGAAAACCTCATGTATTTGTTAGTAAAGAGTCCAACACTCTAGCCTGGTCTACAGAGTGAGTTCCACGACACGACAACCAGGGCTATAGAGAGAAACCCTGTCTCAAAAAAAAAAAGAAAAAAAAAAAGAAAAAAGAATCCAACACTTTCTCAAAGCATAAAGGATGGTAAGTCCTGACTCATTACTGTCTTGTGTGCCTGCAGGACTGTAGAGGGCTGAGGTCTCTTGTAGTCTTGACTTGGGTTTCTTGCTGTGGAGCACTTTAGCTGCACCAAGTCACTCTGTTTTCCCTGCTGAGAGCATCTCTCCTTCCTGCTGTCTGAATCTCACTGCTAAGGCTCTGAGGTAAGCAGAAGACCAGGACAGCCAACCCTAAATGTCAGAGGCCGCTCTCCCCATATTCTGTCTCTTTAGCTGCAGGACTGGGATAAGCCCCTCATCCCTCCTCAGCATCAGGGGCAGTGGATATGAAGCACTAAAGAAGCAGCTGGGGTGTGTACTCATTTCTCCATTCTGGGCACACAAACTTCATGCAAGGCAGGGCCTGGCTGGCAGCTCTAAGATAGTCCTGCCCTGAACTATCAAAAGGACACCTGATCACACAGGAATGCTGGTGAAGAAAGGCTAAGACTTTTCTTAGGTGAAAATTGGTATCTAATATGGATAGAGAACAGGCACAATAGTCCTGAAATAAATGACCAACTGGATTAGAAAAATAGCAAAGTCAGCTTTATTTTCAAAGTGCTTGAGATTAAAAAAAGAAAAAAAAAAAGACAATGGCAGTATGAAGACAGCACACACCCAAGTGTGGGGATGCGTAAGGGGTCAAGGGGCAAGGGGATGTGCATAACGGGACGAGCCCAGACCACAGTCAAGATGTCTACTCATAGATTACAGGTTCCTTATAAAGGTGTTGACCTGCAGGAGAAGAAGAGCTAACGTTACTCTGGAGTCTCAGTCCTTCCCTCAGTCTATATGTCTCCAGTCTCATGAGCATTTATAACTCGAGGAAACACAAGCTACCCAGGGTCAGACAGCAGGGAGTGGTGGCTGGGAACAGAACCCACCTGTCTCCTGTCCCCCACTTTAGAACACCTTACAGGAGGCAGTCACCTAACTGACTGATACTTCCTAGTCCCATGCACTTTAGAGCTGGGGTTTTATTTGTAATTTGCCTACGCTCTCAGGGTTTTGGAGTGTGAAAGGCAATTTGAAGCACAAAGCAACAGAGTCTGAGGCAGAGGCCGGGAGACGAGCTCTGCTCACCTGTCCCAGGAGCTCCTCTTGCTTGGCGGCATTTTCAGAGAAATCTTCGCTGACATTCAGCACCAGCACTGGCACATGCTGCAGAGCTTCAAAGTGGAGCCTGGAGCAGCAAGAGAGAGATGCTGGGGTCATGCCACTCACTTTCCTCCAGACCCATCCAGAGGCTCAAAACTAAAGCTGCCTGTGGAGTAGAAGGCTGAGGCGGTTCTCTAGTCTTCAGACTGCTGCTGAAGTCAGCATTCAAACACTGGCCTGAGCAACCCAAGCCAGACAGAGGACACTAAAAATGTCAACCAAAACGGACATTTTCTAAACAACTCCAGTCCTCCATCCTGAGCCAATTAGGACAAGCATTCATCACAAGGTACAATCTAGAGAAAAGAAAAGAAGGATGGAAAGAAGGGAGAGAGAATCCAACAGTTGCCCCTTGGGACCAATGGATTCTACTCCATGTGCCATCTCGCCGAGAGATGCTGGGCATGTCCAGCATCCAGCATCCTTGCAGCTCCACCGAGAGCTAAGGCTGTGCTCAGCACGGTGGCAGAGGCTCTCGTCTGTCTGTTACATACTTACTTGGTAGTCTTGTTAATAAACCAGTCTTCGTGCTGACCATGCAGCTGTTTAAGATAGGCCAGTTCAATGCCTTTCTCTTCTTCTCTGCCCCTCTGGTACAGCCTCTCCATACAAACCTAAAAGACAATCCCCCTGCAGTTACATTTCAGTCTTACAGGGCCAAACAACCCACAAAATGTCTGCATGTCCTCTTTGGTACCACAGCCCATGACTCTGCATCTGCTGCCTTGTTTTTTTGCTCAGGGCATGGGTACTGTGTTGTCTACTCCTGCCTCAGACTGCTCTTCCTTGGAGTAGCTTCAACTGGTTAAAAGCGAACACCATCCACCCAGCCAGCCACACTGGGAGCTGGAAACTACCCTTCTTTCTCTTCTCCCCGAGCACATCAAGAAACCAGGAGATCCCACTCTCTCTAGCTGGCCCTGTTCTCTCACCTCTGCCTTGGCACTCATGCCTTTCATCTGGACACTTCAAGAGTCTGCTTCTTCCTGTCTCCTGGAGGTGAAGAAGTGCACGGAGAGAGCACGGGCCTTAGAGCCAGTCAGCTATCACGTTTGTGGCAAGCAGTTTGGGTGGGCTCCCTTTTCTCCATCCTCCACCCACCCGAAGGCAGCTGAGACTGCTCTGAGGTAAGGCACATTAATTAGGATTGCCAAAAGTCATTCTGCCCTTCCAGTTTGCCCCTCACTCCAGTCTTCTATGGTTCTTGTGCCCCTGCTTAAAATACTTTGCTCCACAGGGTCTTTACCAGCTACAGGTATAACCAAAGACTTCAAGAAGTTATGAACTTGCCATCCTCCTGCCTCAGCTTTCCAGGTGGTAGGGTTATAGGCATGCACCACTGTGCCTGGCTTGTGAGTACCATTCTACTTACAAAGTGGCAAGCAATTTGAAACATCTCTAGATTAAGCACTCACTCTAGAGTAGACGAAACATCTGCATAAGTCAAAGGTAACACAAAATGAAGTGGAATCTGAGTCTTGACACTAAGGCCTCTCTCCCCGCCCCTTTGCAGAGTTTCACTCTGCCTCCACCTGCAGGTCTGAGGGCCTCTGCCTCTGAGAACTGCAATTCCTTCCCACAGCACATAAGGCCACAGTACTTGTCCTCAGCTTCCTTAGTCCCTGCCTTGCTCCCGGCTTCAGCCAGATTTGGCCTCCTTCCTGTGGGACAAGCCAAGCTCCTTCACACTTCAGAACCTCCGCTCCAAATGTTTGTTTTGCCTGAATTGCCCTTGTTCCTCTTTCTGCCTGGTCAAATACTTCCTTATTCAATGTCAACTGTCCTCAGAGTGTGGGTGGGGTTAACCCCTGTGTTTGGGGCCCCCCCCCCCCACTCCCATCTTTCCTAAGGAAATGAAACTACGCAAACAAATTCTTTTTAGCACCCTCCTTCCCCAGCCTGCTTGTCGAGTTCTATCTTCTTTGACTTTATTTTTTGAGGTAGTTCTAGGTGTGCTCCAGGCTGACCTGGAGCTCTGTAGCTTATGTGTTCCCTATCCTCCTGACTTCTGCTACTCAGTTCTCCTCAGTCAAAGCACTGGGACTGTGCTCTCAGTGGCACTGGGACAGTCTATGCACATATGCATTCTTGACTCAATCTTCTGAGAACGGAGACAAGACTCCACGGCATATTCTGTACTTAGGGTTTGATGTTCTGTCTCTGTGACATATTCATATTCTCTCTCTCTCTCTCTCTCTCTCTCTCTCTCTCTCTCTCTCTCTCTCCCTCCCTCCCTCCCTCCCTCCCTCCCTCCCTCCCCCTCTCCCCGGGCTGTCCTGGAACTCACTCTGTAGACCAGGCTAGCCTCGAACTCAGAAATCTACCTGCACCTGTCTGCCTCCCGAGGGTTTGACTCTCACTTAAACAGTGATTCACTGTTCTCACTTAGCATGGCTTACACTTAGAAATCTAGCACTGGGTGGCTGAAATCTGAATCCTTCTAGTGAGTTCCAGGCCGGCTAGGCTATGAAGTGATGAGACCTTGTCACAGTACAGCACTCTATTTTATAGCATAGTATGTTCAGCCAGGCCCCTCTAACAAGCACTCGGGTCATCTCCAATGCTTGGCTACTACAAACAGTGGTGCATGTAACAGAACAGTCTGTCTGTGTGCCAGCGTATCTATGGACTCAACTCTAAGCACCAGAATTAACAGGGCAAAAGGCATGAGCTCTTCCTACTAGAACTGCCCAATTGCCTCCTCAGAGGCTACATTCCCACAAGCAGGCAGCTTCAGCTAAGTTACTTAATTTTTACTCTGAGAGAAAAATGTCTTCTGAATTGAAATAAATATTTAAAAAAATATAACCATATTTTCAAATACACACAAGGACAGAACAATTCTTGCAAAAGCTATTTATAATTACCGCCCATTGACTACAGACAGCCATTGACACCAGCCTGGATCTATTAAACTCAGTTAGCATTTCCTTTTTTATTATTAATTTGCTAAACTGAACAAACTTTTCTTTCCTCTAAAGTCTAGGCCAAGTCCTACTTTGAATATTTGGCATAATTCTCTCTTTACTGAGTGATTTATCCTGGCCCCACGTCATTTCCAGTGCACATGGGAGCACACACCAGACTGAAGTGGCAGGGACCCTGTGGCCACGCTTCCCAACCTGCCCGGCTGTGACTGTCAAAGGCTCTGCTGACTACGCCCTCTAGCTTCAAGCGCAGGTGACACTTATTCCCACGCAGTCCCTGAGTACTCTGTCCCAGCTTCACTGTCGCAGACAGGGATGGGCATCCTGAGGCTCGCGGCCAGCCACACTTCCTCTTCTTGACCCCAAGGGGTAAGGGGATACAAGCCCAGCCATTTCTCCTCCAATTGTCACTACTGTGATTGCCAGCTTCCTTGAATTTAAGGGGAGGATAGGTAGATGGGCCTGGAGCCCATCTCAGACTCTAAAGCCAGTGTCTGGCAGGCGTCTGTGTTGTGCTGGGTGCTGGCTTGAATTTGTGTCCTGCTCATCCTCTGGCATTCCTGGGTTCCTTTATCTAACACCATCCAAACAGCACTAAAATCTCAAACTAGTCCCAAAAAGTCTCATTATGAGATGAAATACTTCAACTGGTCTCTTCTAAGGGACAAAGCAGCCCCCAATGACAATCACTATAACCACCACCACCCTGGCACTCCATACAGGCCCCTCAATGGACATTAAGAAGGAAGGTAAGGGAGACTTGCTTGTTTTATGGATCCCAGGGTCTGGGTCCAACCTCCATACCACAGAATCAAAAAGCGAAGCAGCTCTATCCTACTCCAGGAAGGACTCAGGCCACTGGCCCCTCTGCTCCTCCCAGCAATGGTGGCCTGGCCCTGAGAAAGCCACCCTGTTCTGTATCTCTCAGAATAGATTAGGTCAACAGTCTTCCTTCTCCTGGCCACAGCCTTCAACCCCTACTACTCTAAGTCCAGCCACCTTATGAATCCCAAGGGAAATCTAATGCTGTCTCTAACTCGGCCTACAGCTCCACTCTGTCCTATTCCACAGCACCTCACAGCTGGAGAGACCTCCCCTCCCCTAGAAACCTGCCTCAGCCACATCCTGCCATCCTCTGTGGGAGCAGGCTCCTCTGTACAACTCAGGGACTATTTTCTACCTGTAAAGTCACCAGCCTTTACAATGTGCCTCTATTCCTCCTTAGCAAGAAAGACCACTGAAAGCAATTGGTCAATGTGCCTCAGCTGGCCAAACCACTTCAGTTCACAGAAGACTCTTCTCAGCCCTTAACTCTTTCCAATATTTAGTTCAATTTTATTTGGACCTGAAACTTCATCTAGACTCTCTTACTCCCCACTGTGATCTACCTTTTTCATTATAATCCAAGTGCTCCCCTGATGGGTTTGGCAAGATGGCTCAGCAGGTAACCTGTACTAGAAAAGAAGGATTGGTGACTTAAGATCCAGCCCTGGAATCCATGGGAGAATGGAAAGAGAGAAGTGAAGTTGACTCTCTCTGTCTCTTCTCTGTCTCTCTCTGTCTCTGTCACACACACACACACACACACACACACACACACACACAAAGATGAAGAGGAATTGCTAGAAGAGGAGGAGTAAACGTCATAATAGAAAAAAAATGTGGGGTTGGAAAGATGGCTCAGCAGTTAAGAACACCAATTGCTTTCAGAGGTCCTGAGTTCAAATCCTGGCAACCACATGGTGGCTCACAACTATCTATAATGGGATCTGATTGTCCTCTTATGAGTACAGGGTACTTATAGACATAAAATAAATAAATATAAAAAGAAGAATAAATAAGTAAATAAGAAAGTAAATAAATAAATAAATAAATAAGTAAATGCAGCCAGGTGTGGTGGGGCACACTCTTAACCCTAGCACCTAGGAGGCAGAGGCAGACATAGTCTGTGAGTCTGTGAATCTGAGGCCAGTCCAGAACAGCCAGAGCTACATTGTGAGACCATGTCTCAAAAAAACCTTTTTTTTTTTCCTTCGAGACAGGGTTTCTCTGTGTAGCCCTGGCTGTCCTGGAACTCACTCTGTAGACCAGGCTAGCCTCAAACTCAGTCAACTCAGAAATCCGCCTGCCTCTGCCTCCCAAGTGCTGAGATTAAAGGTGTGAGCCACGCCCGACTTAAAAAAAAAACCCTTAAAAAAGGTCAAAAAGGCAAGAATACACAAATCCAGTTCCAGCTGCACTCAGAAGTCCCTCTCCTGGCTGCCCCTTCCTTCTGGTCCTTTCTATGGGGGCCATGAAATATGGCATGACAGGAACTTTCTTACTTGTTCTCTGACTCCGCTCAGTGTGCCCCCAGGCTCCCTTCTGTCCACAAGCTCAGCCCCAGCCTGCAGACAGCTGGCTTGCTTTCTGCAACAATGGGCGTACCTGGCATCTGATCATATTTGCAAATTGTCTCTCAAAAGTTGACAGCAGTATCTCTCAAAACCTGCTTTGCCTTGACTGGGAATCCTGCCCTGCAAGTCTTTCAAGAAATCTACTTTACAGATGAAGACCCCCTTCAGTGGAAAGCTTTCCAGGGTCCAGCCAAGGTCCAGTCAGTAGGAGCCAAGGGCCAATGCTGTCTCCAGAGGTCTCCTGTCATGACATCATCCCATGGGCTAAACTGGCTCCCAAGTTCAAGTTACAGAATCAGAGGCAGAGGGCACTTCTATAGTTTGCTTGCCTAAGGGACTTCTCAAGGACCAAACTGTGGGCAACAATTTAGGATAAGGGGAGAAAACATTCCTTCTTTCCCCATATCCTAGACAGAAAACAAAAGGTACCACTGAAGCCTCAGCTGACCCGACACAGGAAGGAAACTGCATAGGCCAGGTGGCTGCAGATCTGAGCGTCCGACCTGCAGACCTGCAGGAACTATAAAAACAACGAAGTTTGTTCTAGCTCTTTCCATTACCACAGGGTTACTTCTATACACAGGCAACTGTGTGAGCATGCTGCCACAGCTGCAGCTGCAGAAGACCACGGGAGATGGGTAGTCAATACTGGAGTACTGGTGTAGACTACTCTCTATGCTGGGGGATGGCCAGAAACTAACTTCTCCAACCAAGAAACCAGAAGCTTGCAGGACGTCATCTCTTATGTTTTCTTTAGTTCTTTTTTTTTTTTTTTTTTGGTTTTTCGAGACAGAGTTTCTCTGTGTAGCCCTGGCTGTCCTAGAACTCACTCTGTAGACCAGGCTGGCCTCAAACTCAGTCAAACTCAGAAATCCACCTGCCTCTGTCTCCCAAGTGCTGGGATAAAAGGCGTGCGCCACCACCGCCCAGCCCCTGAAGTTCTTAAAACAAAACAAAACCCCAAACAATATAGACATTAAGTGTGGATTTTAAAAATTTTATTTATTTTTATTTTTTTGAGAGAGGGTTTCTCTGGGTAGTGCTGGCCCTTCCTTAACTCACCAACACCCGCCTGCTTCATGCTGGGATTAAGGCATGCGCCAACATCACCTCTCGGTGGCAGCGTTCCCAGTTTCACACAGTGAAACCTAAGGTTGTAGGCTCAGAGTTACCTGGGGAGAAGCCTGGAGATAGATGAAGCCATGTAACAAAAGCCGGTCTGCAAACTCCTGCAGGAGAAAGGCGTGCCAGTCCTGATAGATGTGCCACTCGACATCACTCAGGGAGCCATTCTCAAACAGATTCTTTGCAAAGATATACCTGGTTGGAATTGTTGAGGGGGAGGTTGGAGTGGAGGAAGAATGGGAAGTGGGAAGAAAGTCAGGAGCGGGAGAAAAGTAGAAAAATCAGTAACAGGCTTGTTTCCTGCTTATCCAAACTACTTAACCATTCTAGCTCCTATCAGCACTTAAACATAATCTGATTTTAAAAATATCACCCCCCCAAAAAAAATCCCTATCTCCTCTGCCCCTTGCCCCTTGACCCCTGCAGCAGTTGGGAGAGCTGGCCTCAAGGTCATGAGAGCGAGACAGCTGGCCCTGCAGCTTGCCTGAGCAACACAGGAGAGCTGGCCCTGATGGGTGTGAGCTGGACAGCTGTCCCAGGCCCTCACCAGCTGCAGCACTTGGGAGAGTAGGCCCCAAGCTCAACTGGGCAGCACAGTGGAGCTGGCTCTGGAGGTGTGGGGGAGGGCAGGACAGTAGGAGAGCTGACCCTGCCACAGGCTGATGATGGCCTAGCCTGAGCAGGGCTGGAGAGTTCACCCTGGAGGTGCAGACGTGGGAGGGCCAGCAGGCTGACCTGCTCAGTTACCAGCTATGCCCAGATCTGGGGATTTGAGTTGGCCCACCCCATTATCTGTTGGAGTGCATGAAAGGGCTGGTCCTACCAACCCAAGCCTGCAGGGTCGCGCCATGACACAGGGCAGCAACAGGATAACCAGGAGTCGCCCCTGAGGATCCAATATTGATGGTGTGATAGAAGCCAGAGACCTCGAACCAGACCAATGACTCATTGCAATGAACATTTACAAGATGTGTGGACAGAGAGGTACACTGGGGGACACACTGTGACACACTATAGCTGTTTTGTTTATTTTTTTGTTTGTGTGTTTATTTTCTTTTAGGAGGAGAGTTTGAAAGTATGGAGGGCAGATAACATGGGACGGGGAGACGAGCGGGACTGGGGTGCATGATGTGAACCTCACAGAGAATCAATAAAGAGTTTACAAATTTTATTTCTATTATTTGTGTGTGTGTGTGTGTGTGTGTGTGTGTGTGTGTGTGTATGTATGTTTCCATGTGGGTGCTTGTGGAGGCCAGAAGAGGGCTCTGGATCCTCTGGGCTAGACTTACAGGCAGCTGTGAGCCATTTGATGTGGGTGTTGGGAATTATCTTTGGCTCCCCTAGAAGAGAAGCAAATGCTCTTAACTGCTGGGCCGTCTTTCCAGCCCTGGAAATCTGAATTTTCAGTCTACAGCTCCCAGCCTTGTAGTGACAAATACCACCTACACAGGCCATGCTACAGCCTACACACGGAGCAGCGCACGGCAAGGACAGGGGCTCTAGAAAGGGAAACTGGCCAAGACACATGGCAAGTACATGGAAACCTGAACCTCTGACATTTCCTCATTACTACAGCAAGACTCCAAACAAAGCCCAAGAGAATGCAGGGTAAAGCCACTCTTCCATACTGCATTTCAGAGTGAGGGCTGCTGAGTCTTCAGCTATTGAGCTATCCTGATTTGTAGCTGAGAAGCAAGGGAGTGATCTTCCTGTGGTGTCAGCTCTGGAGCTGAGTTTAGTAGGACCGAGAGAGCGACCTCCCCTCCAGAGCACACAGGAACCTAGCTTCCTCTGCTGAGCTTCCAATCAGATCAAACAGGGCTGATGCTGAATACCAAAGTAACTTCCCTCTTTGCTTACTTCTCAGGAAAGGAGGATCTGGTACATTGAGAAACCAGAGATGTATAAACCATGGTTTCAAAAGGGTCGATTCTGCTTTTAAAGCTTGATATTAAACACAATTTGCATCCACAGCAATGACTCCAGTCTCTAAGGCAACGATCAGCAACTAGCCACTTCTGAGAAATGAAACATATTCCTGGGTGACTGGCTCAGGGACGTGCAAACTGCAAAGCAGTGTCACTTTTAAGAGAGTGACTTTTAAAATGACTCTGCAGAGTCCGACCCTAGTTGCAGCTTCCACAGCCCATGTTGCCTTGGGATACCTGCCTCTCAATGAATGGCAGAGATGACTGCAGGTCACACTTTCGAGCTGCTCAGGACGGTGACTGGCACTCAGTAGCCAGCAGCTCTAAGCCATCTGAACTGTTTTTCCTAGACCATAAAGAAGCTAATTTGCAAACTTCAAAAGTGAACTTGCCCAGACTAGAATGTTTTAGCTAAAGCTCACTGAAAGTGACAAGAATTGAAAAGTTCTAGGCTGGGCGGTGGTAGCGCACGCCTTTAATCCCAGCGCTTGGGAGGCAGAGGCAGGTGGATTTCTGAGCTCGAGAGTTCGAGGCCAGCCTGGTCTACAGAGTGAGTTCCAGGACAGCCAGGGCTACACAGAGAAATCCTGTCTTGAAAAACCAAAAACCAAACCAAACCAAACCAAACAAAAAAAACAAAAAACAACAACAAAAAGAAAACCCCCAAAAAACTAAACTGATCAAACAAATAAAGGATTCATACTTCCTCCCTTTGGCACTGGGGCTTCAACTCATGTCCTGGGCACAAAAAGCACCACTGACTCACACTCCTAGCTCCTGGAGAACATTTTTAAAGGAATATAAATGTTCTTGAGATTAGAATTTGTACCAGGTTATCCTTTAATGAAAGCAGCTTTGATGAGGAAATGGCACAAAGTATGACCAACTGCCCACTTCTTTATAAGGAAATGTCAAGACCCAGGGAGCTGTTCCTTTTTTTTTTTTTTTTTTTTTTTTTTAAATGATCTTTGGAGACAGGGTTCTCTTGGCTGTCCTGGAACTCACTCTGTAGAGCAGGCTGGCCTTGAACTCACAGAGGGTTAAAGGCATGAGCCATTACTGCCCTGCTTGACTCATGTAGTTTTTTAACAACAACAGGCATAGTGGCACATATGCAATCCCAATTCCCAGAAAGCAGAGGTGGGAGGATCACCGATGAGAACAAGGCCAGCCTGGTTGACACTGAGTTCCAGGACAGCCAGGGTACAGCTGAAACCCTGTTTTAAGCAAGCAGCAAAGCACCTATAACTAACAGAGCTCTGAGAGGACACTCAAAAGCTGGCCACACAGACATCTTACAATGACTAGTGAGCCAAGATCAGAGACTACACAAAGAAAAACCACACCACTGTAAGCATAGCCTCTGTGGTTGGCCGTGTTTGGTGTCTTACCTGTCACTGTACACAGACCTCTCAAAGACTCGCACAGACTTCTCTGCCTGCAGGAGTCTCCCTGGGATGGGCTCCAGCTGCACTTTCAGGCGGCTCATGAAGGAAAGGGTCTGGAATGTGTAGGACCATCGTGCTGGCTCCTGGTACATCATTTCTAGCAAGTTACCAAGATGTTTAGAAGTGCCATCCTATGGAGGAGTGCAGAAGAAGAGAATTTTGTAGATGTATTATTTCACAATGCACCCCACCCTTTGCCCTTCCTCAACAAAGTTCAATACTTGATGTGAAAAATAACCAGAGATACTTCCTTCTGAAAACATAAAGAGAGATACGACTCCCCAGCTCAGTTTAAACAATGTAAGGAGGAAGAAGACTGTTCGTTCTTGTATGATAAGAATCTGACAGAGGGAGATGACACACCACATTCACTGGAACAGGAAAGAGCAAAGCAAAACTCACACACAGAATTTACACAATTTACACACGCACAGAGTCCTGGGCTTGTGGAGTCTGTTTGTAGGCAGTCACCTACAATTCTCTTCTGAATCAAATCCTACTTTAATACCAATGATGAGTTCTGTTTGTGGCTACTTCTCAAGCTTCAAGGAAGATAAAAAAGAAAACAACTGCTTATCTGAGAATCTAAATAACCAATGAATTAAACAGACTTCTGTGTTTTATGGAAGGGTCATACTTTGTTCAAACAAAGCCCAGTTCCTTCTTTATTTTAGGAACCATGAAATGCAATTTGAAGTCTCATTGATTCTGAATGTATGGGTAAAAACAAGTAGTGGGCATTCATGGGCCCAGGTTTATTTTCTAGCCTTAGTCAATGCAAAAGATAAAATTAAGCAAAGCATTTTGTATCTTCATTCATTCATTCACTCATTCACTCACTCATTAATTTAATTGTTGCTGACTGAAGGCCTGTGTGGGTGAAGCACTCCATGGGCTGGGAGCTGTAAGGAGTAGAGAAAAAGAAAAGTATACTTCAAGCTTTACTGTGCTGTTATTTCATTTAAACTTCCAAACATCTTTGTGAGGTAAGCACTATTAAAACCACTCACAGAGGGAAAAATCCACTGAGAGGCTAAGTAACTTGTTTAAGGTTCTCTGGGGAGTAAACAGAGGATGGGGCTCAAATGGAGCTTCCTTTCTCTAACCTCTTCGTTCTAATGCCTCTCCTATAAAGATGAAGAAGATGCAGGAACTGTGTTCAAGGAGTTCACAATGAAGATGACTAAGAGTGGAATATAAGGCCAAGCATGTGACAAATGTTCAGTTACCCATGCTGTGAAGAACTGAAAGAAGTTTCCAGCAAAGAGTATCACTGAATGAGCAGAATCTTCACAGAAAGTGCAAACATTGTTCAAATGTGTCAACAAAGAGACAATAGTGCCTATAAAATATAAGGGCTGGGCAGATGGCTCAGAGGCTAAAGTGATTGTCATTTGAATGTAAAGAGCCAAGTTCAAATCCCCAGATTCCACATAAATCTGGGCACACTCAGGCATATTATCTCAGTGTTCCTATAGCAAGAGGGTAGGCAGAGACAAGAGACTCCGTGGAAGCTTGGGCCAGCTAGCCTGGTGTCCACTGCAGTGGTGAACAAGCCTGTCTTCAACAAGATGAGGTAAGGGCCTACACCCAAAATTGTCCTCTCATCTTTTGTTTTTGACAGCCTGTTCTTATTTTATCAGTGAGACAATATCTTGAGATATTTATGTTTTTGTTTTCTGTTTTCCTATTCTGGGTAATAGTTCTCTCAGCGCAGTTACTGACTTTTGTTCATTTTCAGTTGATATACATACATACATACGTGTGTGTATGTATATATGTATATATATGATTTTATTATATATAGTTTTATATATAGTTTTACAGTATACATAAATATATTTTTAAAAATTGGGTGTGTATATGTGTGGCTATGTTTGTGTGAATGCATTCACTTGTACACAAACCCCCACACATACACATAATTTAAATGAATAAAAGTACATCTTTAAAATAAAGGAAGAAAGAAAAAAAGGAAAAACAGCCAGGTTTTACTGTATCAAGAAAAAGAACGATTAAACACAAGTCTTTCCCCCTTTAATTCCAATAAATTAATGAAGACTCTACTAAGACTTAAAATGGGAAATAGAGTATTATTAAAATCTACAAATGTAGAGCGACAGCAACTAAAATGCAAGGGAAGTTATAAGGAAAGACATATGAAACAGAAAAAAATCACAAATTTAATATTCGTCTTCAGTTAACAGAAAGAATAGACCCCCAAAATGAGAATTCAGAGGGAACGAACTTTCCCATGTATTTTTTTATTTATTAATTTTTATGTGCATTGTTATTTTGCCTGCAGGTATACCTGTGTGAGAGTGCTAGATCCTCTGGAACTGGAGATGTAGACCGTTGTGAACTGCCATATGGGTGCTGGAGACTGAATTCGAGTCCTCTGGAAGGGCAACCCACATGCTTGACCACTAAGCCATCTATCTCTCCAGCCCCATTCCCCCCTGTCTCCCATGTATTTGAACCTGGGCTACATCCTCAATGATTACTAAACTAAACCTAAGACATTCCTATTTTCCTTACAAGTCCTGCAAATAGTAGCGTCTTACACTGATGAAGCACCTCAAACTTTACTTATAAAATATTCTTCTAAAAAGTAGACAAAGCCAGGAGTGCTGGGACACACCTTTAATCCTACACGTGGAAGACTGAAGCAGAAGGAGTCATGTGAGTTTGAGGCCAGCCAGGTTTACCAAATTCCAGACCAACCTGGTCTACAAACTGAGACCCTGCCATTAAGAAGAAAAGCAGTATCAGCCATGATTACCTCATGGTAAAAGGGATGCTAAGAAGATTTATGAAGAAAACTGAACATTTGCTGTTGATAAAAAGTGAGCACTAGAAGGGGATATCCTTCCAGGCTCTAGACAAGGAGTAACAGAAGACTGTGTGCTAACATTAGAGAGTGTCACCAAAGGTAGAAGAGAACAGTGACCAGCCTCCTACAAGCTCTACCCAAAGCAAGCAGGAGGATAGAGATGAATCATGAAAACTGGAAAACTCTTCTAATTGATTCCAGGTAGAGGCAACTACCATTGTCTAAAAGTCTGAGCAAAGGATTCCATATAAAAATTGAGTCATACTAGTCAAATACAATCAACTGCTTTATCAAAACAGCAGTAGGGGTTTGAGAAGAGGAGGACAGACACCAATAACAATGAGTAGTAAGTATCTACTCATGAATGAGATATCTAAGCGCACCCCTGGGACAACACATAACCGACTGTGTAACAAGAGAATGGCTCAGGGGTGAACAGCATTTGTTGTTCTTCTAGTAGACCCAGGTTTTATTCCTAGCATCCCCATAGCAGCTCACAACCGTCTGTAACTTCAGTGCTAGAGGATCTAATGCTCTCCTCTGGCCTCTGTGGGCACAAGGCATGAATATGGTATGCAGACATACATTTAGACAAAATACTCATACATATAAAATAAAACAAAAATAAATTAAAAAATATAGAGGCCATGGAGATGGATTAGTGGGTCAAATTGTTTGATGGGCAAACATGAGAACCTGAGTTCAGACCCTCATCACCCACGTAAACAGTTGGACAAGGGTGCATGCAAGCAAGTTAGTACCTCAGCACTGTGGGGTGATAGCCTCCAGCCTAGCTCCATGCTCACTGAGAGGATCTGTCTCAGGAGAGTAAGGTAGAGAGTCAAAGAGTAGGACACCTCATGACCTCCTGATCCAAGTGCACAGGCAAGCACAACACACACACACACACTCACAAACACACACATTAGAGTCTTACAACTTTTAAAATTCACATGCAGCAGAAAGAAATATAGGAGGATGTTTTTAAATCTTGAGCTACTGGAGGTATTAAACCCAGGGCCTCCAGGATGGCTCAGCAGGTAAAGGAGTCTGCAGGCAAGCCTGCCAACTTTGGTTTAATCCCAAGGACCTATATGCTGGTAGGAGAGAACTGACTCCAGACAGTTGTGTTGTGCTCTGATCTCTTAACCCTTGAGAGATTTACCTATAGTATGTGTGTGTGTATGCATATATATATATATATATATATATATATATATATATATATATATGGCATATTTATCTACCCCACCATACTCTCTCACCCCTTCCCCCCAACAAAAAGAAAGAAAGAAAAGAAAAACAAAAGAAAGGTCAAGGAAATGGCTCAGTTGGTAAAACGTTTGCTTTCTAAGGGTGAGGACTTGAGTCGATTCTCGGAACCCACATAAAGAAGCCACGTGTGGTGCAGAATGCAGTGGCTCATGCCACAATTCTGGTGCTTGGGAAGTGAAAGCAGGAAGACCAAGAGCTCAAGACAGCCTAGGCTACAAAAGACCCTGTCTCCAAAAACACAAATAATAGAGGACTGGAAAGGCGGTTCAGTGATTAAGAGCACCCAAGGTTTGGAGAACTCAGCTCCATAACTCCTACAGTGGAGTAGCAAAGATTTTCTGAGCATATTTTAAAATGTCACCACTTGCCTCTGGTATACTCAGAAAAAGATATTATAACTTGTTTTTACTGGAAAGTTTTACAAATACACAACTGCATACATTCAAATATATGAACAGATGACTGGAAAACATACCTCCAAACAGCACAGCATGTGGTCACACAGGGTGCACCACCCTGGACTGGAGTAGCAACCCTGGCACCAGATCACACTCTAAGGTGCTCTCCCACACAGCACTGGGAAAGCCTGGCTTGGCTCTTGGTGAACTGAGTGGAAAAGAATGTACTGAGAAGCACATCACTCATACGAAGTGGCTTCAAAATGGAAAACAGCCCAGAGGAAACCTTGAGGGATTCTGAGGAATTAGATCTGAAGAGAGAAAGCTTTCTTAGCTTCAACTGTACACAGGGGTTGGTTGCCGTAGCACAAAAATGCTAAGGCTTAAAAAGGCAGAAGAGCCTGAACCAGTGAGTCCAAGTCATAAGGTCCAATGTGGCTCAGCACATGGAAGAACTGACCAATAATTAGTGGTTAAAACAGGACCTGAGCCACTCAACACATGTTCCAGGTATCTGCAGTTCACACATGCTGCCTCGCCTTCAGCTAGTCTAAGCTTTTTGTCCAACTGGGCCTTCCCCACTCACACTTATGTGGTCAGGCTTGAAGCCAAGCCTATGGCCTTGGCAGAAGCAGCAGACCTGACACTGGGGCTGAGCTGTGAGGTATGAGTGAGACACGTGGGGTTGCTCCAGCTTGGAAGAGGCCTGGCACTGAGCATGTGCCTTAAAAATGTAAGCTGTTGTCTCTTCGTTGACTCAGAGGGTGATCAGATGCTCAGTAAGGTCCCTTCCCACATCTAAGATGTCCTCATTGACTATTAGTCCTGCCAGCCAGTTTCAATAATAACAATATAAATACTTAAGGGTAGGAATGACAACATTCATTTTCAAAGTCTGGATGGTCGGGCATGCTTGGGAAACCACAAAGACAGGAGGCAGGCGCTTGCACAGACATACAGAAGCCACAAAAACTCAAAACTAAACATATTCAAACAAATCATATCCTTTGTGGCCTGCTTTCTAGAATGAAGCTATTCTAAAAAGGAGACAAGCTGGGCTATTTCATGTCCTCAGAGTAAATTAAATTACTCCAATTAGACTGCTTGCATGTCAGCCAACTCCCCCCCGACAGCTGAAAACTTACTTTTTGGGTGCCAGCAGCCTGGATATTCTGCCATGTTGCTATGGGTTCTGGAGCCACCTGCCACTCTGGGTGAGTTTTCATGAGTAACTTCACAAAGGTGGATTTGCCCACAGCTGCAATGCAAATGGCACACGTTGGGATGCTTCCCAAATCCGGGAGAAGGAGGCAGCCACCAACCTCACCACGACTGCCCATCTCATGGGAGCAAGGGCCAGCTTCTCCAGCTTCAAAACTTGGCAGCTGAACAACTCACTGTCAGCTTGGTGATAGCTTGGGCAGCTAACCAGTTATCCCAGTGAGCATGGGCAACAGGGAGCAGACATGACCTTAGTATTGCAGCTGCAGTTTAATGAGCCAACCTCCCAGAGGCAGAGTATTTAGTAACTTGAGAATATAACAGAACTTTCAAAAGTAGGCAAAAGGTGGCTATAAAGCTTGGGCTGTGACTGTAGGAATTTTAAGTTGAAGAAAAAACCATTATGAGCCTCACTCATTCAACAAACCACACCAACACCCGTGGAGGGATAGCTTCTGTCTGGGATTGTCAAACCTTGGAATATGAGGATAATAAAACACTGGATGAATTTTATCCTCAGGACTGGGTGAAGGAAACACAAACACAAAGGAGGTTACTGATAAATCATGCTGTGCTGAGAAAGGAAAATGCAGGACGCTCCAGATGCAGCTCAGGGGTTTGAGAAAGGCTCCTTTGAAGAAATATCCAAGGAAGCCCCAAAGGAAGCCCTGTACAGTCAGTTAGGCTGAGGGTGGGGGAAGGATAACCCATATGTGGGAGCAACATGAACCTAGGCCAGGGAGAGGCAAGCAAGAGATGGCTGCAGCCCCAGAAGCAGCTGTCAGGGATGTAGCACCGAGTGCAGCAGCAGAGTGGTTAATACTGGGGTGGCCAGGCAGACAGGCAGTGAAGTGCAGCTCTACAGGGCTTCACAGATTTGACTTCTCTGGGCAGAGGTACATCAGAAGCCATGAGTTTCAGCAGGGAAATGACAAGATTCCTTCTCAGCTTTTTATTTATTTTTACTCTGTGTATGAGTGTCTTTGCCTGTGTGCATGTGACCTGTGCACCACCTTGTGTGCCTTGTGCTCACAGAGATCAGAGGAGTCAGATCCCCTGGCACTGGAGTTCTGGATGACTGTGAGTAGACATGGGGGTGTAAGGAATTGAACCCAGGAATTGAACCCATTCCTCTGGTTCCTCAGCTTTTAAAGACTATGCTAAGAGCTATGTAAGAATGGGCCAAATTGAAAGTCAGCAGAACAGTAAGTAGTAAGTTATTTGTGGCTTGACTGGGGTGATAGCAAGGAGGTGGAATCAACCTAGTCCCACAATGCTAAGATTATCTATTTCCATTTACACCTCCATCTGGCCCATCTGTCCTGAGCTCCTGGTGGGCAGATGCTTCTGGACATCCCATGCACAGCTCAAAGTCAGTGTATTCCCCAAATAAACACTAACCAATCTACCAGGTGGAGTGTCTCCATCCTCTAGACCTAGAGTATGGTAATATTCCTGCTATCAGAACATCTTCAGTCAGACCTCCAGAGGCCTCAAGGCCTTTTGTCTGTATTTCTAACTGTCCTTTTTCTGTTTGCACTTCCATACTCAGGACCAGATCCTCTGCATCCCTGGCTTCTTTGACTCCAGCTGTGTTCTCTGCAACTGAACCTCCACACTGCACCTGTATTACATGTGAAGCACAGCTTAAAATCCTGTCAGGACTTTACATTTCTGTAATCCCAGCACTCAGAAATGCTGGAGAAGTTGTTCATGAATTTGAGGCCAGTGGTGGCTAGACAGTGAACATGAGGCCATCTTGGATACATAATAAGACACTGTGATGGTTTGCATGTGCTTGCACCAGGGAGTGGCACTATTAGGAGTGTGGCCTTGATGGAGTAGGTGTGTCACTGTGGGTGTGGGCTTTAAGACCCTTGTCCTAGCTGCCTGGAAGTCAGTCTTCTCTTAGAGGCCTGCAGATGAAGATGTAGAACTCTCAGCTCCTCCTGCACCATGCCTGCCTGGTCACTGCCATGTTCCTGCCTTGATGATACTGAACTAGACCTCTGAACCTGTAAGCCAGCCCCAATTAAATGTTGTCCTTATAAGAGTTGCCTTGCTCACTGTGTCTGTTCACAGCAGTAAAACCCTAAGACAGACACTGTCTCAAAACCGAAATGCTTTTGCTTTCATGAAAAACAAAAAAGTACACACACACACACACACACACGCATATCCTTTCATCACGTGGGGGTGAGGCAGCACGCCATTGTATGCATGTGGTGATCAGAGGACAACTTGTGGGATTGGATCTCTTTATGTGGGTCCTGGGGATCAAATTCACGTAGGTCATCAGGCTTGATAGCAGGCTCCTTTACTTCCTAAGCCATCTCAACAGCCTCGAATTGTGAAACTACATTTATTTGTTTGTAAACTGGTGGGCATGCAGAGGCCAGAAGCCAATTGTGAGTTACTTCTCACTTTTCATGTGGGTTCTGAGAATTGCACTCAGGTGGTCAGCGTTGGCAGGAGGCCAACAGCCGGGGCAGTCGTGGTGGTGGATGCCTTTGATCCCAGCACTTGGGAAGCAGAGGCAGGTGGATCTCAGAGTGAGTTCCAGGACAGCTAGGAATGCAGAGAGAAACCCTGTCTTGAACTGCGCCCCCCATTCAAGCCTCTAAGTACAGTCTGGATATGATATATAAGTATAGCGTAAGGTCTGGCCCCTACATATACCCTCTCACAGCTCAGCCTTGCTACTGGCCCTAGTTCCTTACAGTTCCAGTCATCAGTTCTCTCCTCAGTGTGACTGCACTGTTTCCCCATTTGCTAGAGCATGCTCTCTCCACATTGGTCAACTCCTAACTCAACCTTTCAGGGTTTGCTCTCATGGCCCTCTTGTGTGACGCTGTTGCTGACACTGATACCTCTAACTGGGCTAGCTAATCCCTTTTGATGTTCTAGATACAGCTCCATTACTACACTGACAACTGTTTCTTTAGTTGGAGGATGGGGCATTGCTAGGACAGAAAACCAAACCCAGTCTCACATTCTATCTCAACAAACAAAACATTAATTTCAGTTCCCTCCAAAAAGAGACCAGTCTGAATGTGGTGGTTCATGCTTCTGATTCCAGCACCTGGGAGGCAAAGGCAGAGTCAGGCATATGTCTGAGTTTGAGGTTCCCTGGTCTACTGAGTTCTGGGCCAGCCAGGGCTACGTACTAAGACCCTCTCTTTCAAAGAGAGAAAGCCAAAGCTTTCAGAGGAGCTCCAAAGCTTGATCTTCTTTATCGGAAGGAGTACTTCTCAAGCGAGCTCTACCCTCTGGGGGAAAGTACGTGGAACCAAGAGAGAGTGTGAGTGCCCAGGAGCCCCGCGTCTCAGCCAGGAACCCACACATCAGTCTGTCCCTCATCATACAGCACTCCACTCCTCTCAGAGCACAGTTTTGCACAGTCACGCTTTCCTGTCCCACCTCCACCCAGCTTTGTGCTTGTTCATCTTGCTCTGCCTCTGCACTTCCCACACAGAGGAGAGAAAATGTCCTCCCTTCCCTCGAAGCTCCAGGCCAGTGGCTTAATCCTTCTTTTCCCTAATCCAACACCTCACCTTAAGTGTCAGAGACTTCTCCTGTTAGCTCCCAATTCCTACGACATTGGTGAGTTACCAATTGGTTGAAGTACAGATTTTTCAAACCTCCCTGTGCTGAGAAGGCCCCAGCTTAAAATATATGGCCTGGGTAGCTAATCCTAGAGTATAAGTTGTTCAAGTCTGAAAGACAGTTCTTATGTTTAGGGTAAAAAGTAATTTAAGCAACTAAAATAATATTTGTTTCCTCTGGCTGGGCAGTGGTGGCACACGCCTTTAATCCCAGCACTTGGGAGGCAGAGGCAGGTGGATTTCTGAGTTCGAGGTCAGCCTGGTCCACAAAATGAGTTTCAGGACAGCCTGGGCTACACAGAGAAACCCTGTCTCAAAAAAACAAAACAAAACAAAAATTTTTTTCCTCTGTGTGCCATGACACAGAGCACAGAGGTCAAGAGTTTGGCAGCAAGTGCCTTTACCCACTGAGCCATCTTGCCAGCTCCTAAAAACTATTTCAAGTACTTGAAAAGGTAAGGCATTGTGGCTCATGCCTTTAAGCTTTGCAACTGGGAGGTCAAGAGTAAAGCAGAGGGGCTGGAGAGATGGCTCAGCAGTTAAGAGCACTGACTGCTCTTCCAGAGGTCCTGAGTTCAATTCCCAGCAACCACATGGTGGTTCACAACCATCTCTAATGGGATCTGATACCACTTCTGGTGTGTTTGAAGACAGCTGCAGTGCACTCATAGAAATAAAAAAAGAAATAAATCTTAAAAAAAAAAAAAAAGAGTAAAGTAGAACTACAGAAAGCCGGACAACAGCTTGGGCTACAGAGCGTGCTCCAAGATAGCTCAGCTTCAAATGAGACTGTTTCAAACAAAAGGTAAATAAATAAAAAGATTAAGGCAGTTGGTCTGCTGGTTAGAGGTAAATGACCATCAGGCCTGCCTGCAGCTTTCAGAGTGGAAGCTGAGGGTCTGCAGGTTAGGAGCATCAACTGCCTGCTGAGACCAGGTCCATCTCAGGACATCAGAATTCTGAGCATCCGAGTCATGCCAGTTACACACTCAACCTGAAATGCTAACAAATACAACGGGAACTTACAGTTCCAATTACTGGAACAATCATTTCTGATGTCCAGGGCACCCTGTGCACAGCTTCCACCAACCCCAAGGTTTCTAGCAAGCAAGCTTAGTAATCAGAACCCAATGTCAGCACAGAAAGACAGTAAACAGTGATGGAAGGTTCTGAGAGCTGTGCTATGCTTATTACTAGGGCTGGAATAGTCTGGTAATTCACTATAGAGTAGCATTTCCTGAATGAATGCTCACCCACACAGAGGTGAGTAAATGCCATTAGAACTGAGCTGTAACTGGCACCACCCACACATGTGGAACAATCACTTCAATAATGGAAGGTTATATATTTAAATAAAACCCACAGATGGTGTAACTTTCCAGAGTTGTGATAGCTACTCTCTTCCAGAAGACCTGAGTTCAGTTCTTAGCAC